ATTTTGACACAGGTTTTCGCTAAGTTGCCCAGGCTGGCCTCAAACCTGCAATCCTCCTTCCTTAGCTTTCCAAGTCCCTGGGATTACAGGTGTGTGCCACCACACCCAGCAAAATACAATTTTTAAGTAATGAAAAGTTACCTTAAAAGAGCAAATAGATGCTTTTCTGATGGGTTAAAGAGTAGACAGCCTATCAGCTTATCTGAATCATCTGAGTAACATTTTAATGCTATTCATTTTTTTCCCCTCAATACTGGTGATTAAACCTAGGGGTGCCCTATCACTGAATTACACATGGTGTTCATTCTTGGCCTTCTCCCACCCCAAGTAAAGCCCAGAATCTTCATGACTTCTTATTCCTGTCCCCAGTAACCTGAACTTGCTCCAGGCAGAGTTAGGCACTTTCTCCTGTAGGCTCCCACAACCCCTTAGGACACATTTGTTTATTTATCTGATCCTTCCACTTCATAACAAACATGATGCTTACCATATGGTGGGGCAGTTTGCTAGACACTTTTACATCCATTCTAATTATAAACCTCCCCTCCTTTGTGAAGTAAACCATCAGTTCACAGATAAGCCAATAGGAAAGTTAAGTAACCTACTAACTTCGACAGTGTAAGTAGTAGAACCTGGGTCTAAAGGCAGATGGTCCAGCTCTGAGTCTCCTCACTGATAATCACTGGACATCCTGCCTTCCATGAACCTGAGAGCTCTTAGAGAAGGACCAGGGGAGCCAACACAGTATTGACATGTAGAAGGTTCTCTACAAACATAGTTAGAATAAAGGCAGTGTCTCATGTACTGCATGTCACAGTTTCAGCCTTGACCTTCTCAAACTAGGATCTCCACAAAAGCTGGCCAAGGGGATCTTCAGCACCTTCCTGTGAACATGGCTTGCCTATTCCCGTTCCTTCCTTCTCCTTTCCAACAACATCTGTCTTCTTCCCTCCCCTGTGGGACACACCCAAGCAACAAACCACCCACTTAGCTGGTTCCTCTCAATAAAAAAAAAAAAAAAAAAAAATCCAACCTATTTTTTCTTCTAAAATCCCTTCAGGAGAAGGCTGCTGATGTCATGCCCATTCAGATGCCATCATCTCAGGAGAGGTGATGGGCCCAGGCATCACTTCCAGCTTGTAGAGTTACACATGATTGGCACATGATGCACATGTGATGGCTTCCTCTTTTAGACCTTTTCCCAAATTGTTCTTTCCTTATTATTCCCCTGCAGGTGGTCACTTCTCATTTCCTTATGATAAAGTTCCTTCTCGCTTCTCATTCCTGACACTGTGATCAACTTTTGCTGTTAGCAAGTATGATTATCTGAAATCAGGTAAGGGTGTGTTTGGGAGAGTTATGGAATTAGGTGAATTTAATTTACATGAAGTTGTTTTATAAAGCTGCTGATTCCAGAAGGATGCAAATCCTGCCCAGCAGACACAGGCTCTAAACTCAGCTTGCTCAGATTTGAGTCCCACTCCACAATGTACTAACCATGTGGTCACTGGTCCTCAATTTTATCAACTGTGAAATTAGTAATAATAGTAGTAGTAGTAGTAGTAGTAGTAGTAGTAGTAGTAGTAGTAGTAGTAGTATGCTACTTTCAGACCCTTGTAGGGTCTGAAAAAGATTGAAATAAATAACTTGTTAGCCAAAGCTGGGTACATGGGCATGCTCAGTAAATGTTAGCTCTTTATTAATTTTACTCCAGACTATTCGCTATCCATTTTTTGGTGCAGAGTAATGTCTATCCCTTAGTCTGACACAGCTCTGAAAAAGTGAGTGGATCACGAAAGTGATCGGGATAAGCATTTAAAATTCAATGAAGAAAATGTCTACCAGTTTCCCCTCTGTTCTTACCATTGCAATTCACTGATTGTTCTAGGGAATAAGGTGCTAAAGAAATGTTTTTATTTTATTCTATTTTATTTTGCAGTTCCGGGGATTAAACCTATGGCTTTGTATAAGCTAAATGAGCTCTCTACCATTGAGCTATACTCCCAGCCCCTGAAGGAATATTTTTTTTTTTTTTGTAATACTGAGCACAGAGCTATACCCCCACTCCCAGCCCTTTGTATCTTTTATTATAGAACAAAGTTTTGCTAAATTCCCAAGGCTGGCTTTGAATATTTGATCCTCCTGCCTCAGCCTCCTGAGTCACTGGGAGTGCAGGTGTGTACCACCATGTCGGACTGAAAGGATATTTTTCAAATGCAATGGGTAATAGTCTGTCTCAAGCATGCTATTAATAGAACAGTTGCTTGAGCAAAGAGCAATTTTCTGTGTGTGTGTGTGTGTGTGTGTGTGTGTGCGCGTGCGCGTGTGCACGTGTGTGTTTCAGGATTGGGGTTGCTAAAATAAGTTAACAAAATAAATGAAGGCTCATACCTCCCACAGAGTTCTGAGAAACAAGTGTGTCCTCAGGTTCCTGGTCCATGTGCAAGGAGTACATAGCTCCACCAACATTCTGTCAAGAGGAGGGGAAGGTGGAGCAGTGGAGTCCCTCCACTCAGTGATTAGGGGAGGGAAGACTTTTCTTCTACCTTTTGAGGGTTCATTAATTGAGTCTGAAATATTAATAGCAGGCAGATTAATAGGAGAAAAGGTATATAAATTTATTATATGCCCAGAGCCATCTTATGAAGGAAAATTGAATAACCAAAAACCCAGGATAGGAGGGAGGAGGGAAGTAAGCAATTAGGGAAGGGTAAATGATTTTTCAGAAAGATGAATGGACCATCAGAAGAATAGGTGATAGCCTGTGATAAACTGTGACTGAACTGTGGTTGTGGTTCAGTAGTAGAGCACTTGTCTAGCATGGATGAGGTGCTGGGTTCCATTCCCAGCACTGCGAAGAAAAAAAGAAATGAAAATCTGCCTGGGTATGGAATTGGCCTCCAGCATCCTCTCCTGTGATATAATCTTAATCCTTCCTGGTTGATGAAGTTCCAGGGAGGGCTCATGACAATTGAGCTCCTTCTGGAGGACCTGTTTTCAGGCAAATAAGGGAAGTCAATGAAAGTCCCTGCCTGCATTTACTATTCCCCAAGTGTCCTCAGTTTGGAGCAGCATGCTGAGTTTGGAGCAGTCCACCTCACAAGAGAATCAGAGGTGGGTAGTTCTGCTGCTTATGCAGCTACCTCCAGGGCCAGGGAAAGGTGGTTGTCCCTCTGCCCACAAAAGCAGGGACTGTAAGGATTTACTCATATCCGACAGAAGGGTGCATGGGATGGTAGGAAAACCTGGCTCCCTTCCCATCGTCCAGCTCCCAAGCAAGGAGAGACCCATCTGACAGGGCACCTCTGGGAACCAGTGTTCTACTTATTCAGAACTCAGTCCTACTTTACCTGGAAGGGGAGGGTTCAGGGCTCTAAGAGAGGGCTGGGGTAGAGAGTTGCACCCCTAATTCCAAGGAGAGATGAAGGTATGATTTATGTGGGCAGGAAGCAACAACTGAAGAGCTAGGGAGAAGCTGCTGTGGGAAGCATTTCAGTGGAATTGAATAAGAATTTTGGGGTACAGAAAAAGATAGTCTGAGACTCAAAAATGACAGGGCAGGTGAGCTGTTAGAATGCAGGAAAAGCCCTGAGCCTTTGAATTGCAAAAATAATTCCTGTGCAAACTGGCCCATGGCTCTTGCCCTTGGTCCACACCCTTGACTCATGTCCTTGCATGCAAAATAATACAAGGACACTGCACAAGTGCTAGAAAAACCGTTGTGAAGTTATGTAATTCTGCCTTGACTCCACCTCTGTTTCAGCCTTAGTTACTGTCCCTCTATAAATAATACCACAGACCAAGGTCCTGTCTCTTCCTCTGGAGGTAGTTCATATTATTCCTTGAATGTGATTTCCTCATGTAACCCCCAAAACTTCTCACCCTCAAGATGGTCCCAATTATCCTTTGAATGTTTATTTCTTTACCCCCAAAGATATTAGATAGCTTGCATTCTCCCTTGAAAGTACATCTGCTTTCCTAAATAAATCTATCTGGAGCATGCTGAAATTCTTTTTGGGTCACATATCCCTACATATCCTAAGTTAAGGGCTCTCTCTCTCGGTGAACCCCTGAGATGACAGAGTGGCCAGGCTGCATAGAAAGTGTCCATGGGCTCAAAGCTGAATGTCAGACCCTGTAGAAATACTGCAGTGTGACAGGCTATGGCTTTAGAAGGGAACCCTAGAAAACCAGGCTCTGTGGGGAAGTATGACTGTTGAATGTTCAGTTTGTTCAACATTTTCTGAGAGGGTGCAGACTCTGAGGCCCATGGACAGCCAAGATAGCCCCTTAAATAAGAATAGCTGGGATATCATTGCCCCAGAGCCCACTGTTAATGGGAAGAGAAAAATCTCAGAAGCTTTCAGATTTTTTTTTTTTTAGCAGAAAAATAAAGAGGAGCACTGAGAGAGGAGAACCATCTGTGGAGGTATGAAACTGACCTGGGCCTAAGAAGATATGTGTGGCCCGAATATCTGTCTCTGAGGAAAAGGGACAGCAGTCTTCAGATAAGCAAACTTCCAATTTGAGCTCAGGCAGAGGAACCACTGGGGACACACAGGCTGGCCATGTCTGTTGGGGCTGTGGCTCTGCCCTGCAGAAAGTGTCATGACAAAAGGCAGGCCTGGGACCTGAGCCAACCTGTTGCTAAATCAAGATTCCTGAGATCTCAGCTGGTTACCTTCTGTGATACTATAAGGTGTTTTTTTGTTTTGGTTTGGGGCACTAGGGATTGAGCCCAGGAATGTTTTACCATTGAACTACATCCCCAGTCCTTTTAATTTTTTTTATTTTTTTAAGGGCCTTGTGCATGCAAAGCAAGCATTCTACCAACTGAGCTATATCCCCAGCCCTTATTTTTTTTTTTTTAATTTTGAGAAAGGGCCTTGCCAACTTGCTGAGGCTGACCTTGAACCTTTGATCTTCCTGCCTCAGCCTCCCAAATTGCTGGAATTAAAGGTACATGCTACTGTGTTTGCAACACTATGAAATACATATTTGGTCTTCCTCCAGTTTCCTGGCATACAACTCCTAAAACCTTTGAAATCTAAAAAGTAATAAATGTCTTTTTGCATGCTAATGAGCTTACTAATGGCTAGCAGCCAAGAAGCTTCAGGATGAGGGATGTTCACAAGATGATAGACCAAAGCCTGATTAGAGGTTTGACACTTTCAGCCTCATCCTCCAAACTTAAAGGAGGGAGATGGGCTAAAGGTTGAGTTGATCACCAATGGATAATTATTTAATCAATCATGCTTATGTAGTGAGATCTCCACAAAAACCCAAAAGTATAGAATTGGGTGAGCTTCCAGAATGCTGAACACATGGAGGGTCCTAGATGGTGGAGCATCCAGACAGGGCATGGCAGCTCTGCATCCCATCCTTCATATCTTACCCAGTGCATCTCTTCATCTGTATCCTTTATAATAAACTAGTACATGTAATTAAAGTGTTCCCCCAAGCTCTGTGAGCCACCCTAGCAAATTAGTCAAACAAGAGGAAGGGGTTATGGGAACCCTAATTCATAACTGATTAGTGGAAGCACAATTAAACCAAACTCAGACTTGTGATTGGCATTGGAAGTGGGGGGCAGTCTTGTGCAGCTGAACCATTAACATGTAGGATTCAACAATATTTCCAGGTAGATGTGTAAGAATTGAATTGAACTACAGAACACACAGCTGCTATCTGCTGCAGAAAGATTGATTGGTTCCTGATGAGGAGAAATCCCCATTTGCATCTTGGTGACCAGAGGTCACAGAATTGTTCTGTTTATTGTGTTGTGAGGGTAAAGTTGGGGGGGGGTCTTTGTTTCCTCTCAGACCTTGTGCCTGGTTGTAGCAGTGGCTGGCTTTTTGGCCCCTGTGTCCTAGCCTTTGGGGATGGAGGCAACAGGCCAAGCCCACTCTTGGCCAGGGTGTTAAGGAGTGAAGTGTCCCTGAGGCCAGGGAAAAGGTGACAAAAAAAATCACTTGTGGCAGATCTCCAAGAAGGAAGGTGACTTTTTTTTTTTTTTTTCCCAGCTAGAGGGATTGAACCCAGGGATGTACTTCCACTAAGTTATGTTCACAGGCCTTTTTATTTATTTATTTATTGAGACAAGGTCTCACTAAAGTGCCCAGGTTGACCTCAAACTTGTGTCCTCCTGCTTCAGCCTCCTACAGGTGCAGGAAAGTGACTCTTCTTGGAGTCCTGCTGCTCCTTCCCACAGCAAAGGCCTCCCTTTCACAACTGCCCACTTCAGAGAAGAATGACCCAGCCCAGCGGGGGTTCCTCAAAGACAGCACATATGGGAGCAAAAGTGGAGACAACTGCCTCACATGCTCCTGAGTCTACTGCTGGGATTATTTAAGCAGACTCTAGCCCCACTAGAGCCCACCTTGGTGTTGTGGGCAGGGGGAATAGCAGCTCTAGAAAGTGGTATACCTACATACACTTAAGGATTAACCAACCAGGGGCTAAAACAGTGCTCACAAGTGTTATATATTATAACTCATTTCAACCTTAGAAATGAACAAGAATGGGGGCTGGGGATGTGGCTCAAGCGGTAGCACGCTCGCCTGGCATGTGCAGCCCAG